CGGACCGGGACTGGCAACAGGATCGCAACCCACGGTGTTGCCCCCGTGCCTCGCTTTGTTGCCCCCGTGCCTCGCTCAGCCAGTGAGCGGGAACCGGTCTGTATGTGGATCCGAACCCTCGGCGGGAGCGCCTCCGCGCTTCCCAAGCGGCGCACTAGTGCAGTGCGCCACCGGGCCGGCCCATAAAGCACAATATTCTAAAGCTTTAAAACAGAGATATCTTTTCCCATAGTATATGTTGGATCTCTCATGGATTATGGCATATTTTGCACAGGACTCAATGCCTGTAGATCACTCAGATCACCAACTAAACTTAGGGACTTTGGCTATATTTTAAACATTTTGATAGTTGTATATCAAAATAGTATATATATGTGTGTATATATAGTATACTATAGGATGCAGGTAGTGCATTTTGGACTAGTTTGTTTTAGACGGATGGTATAATTTTTTTAATGGCAATTTATTGCCTACAGTTTTTGTTCATTGACGAACTGAAACTAAAACAGCATAGAGCCCTCTCATGTGTCAGAATGGCTTCTGTTTATTAGTGTTGCTTGGGTTTATTCAGTTTGATTGCATCTTGTCTTTACATACTACATACATAGTTCAATTAATTAAATGGATGAGCAAGTCTCTTGTTACCATCTGCAACGAATGCTGTTGCATGTCTTTATTCATTTAAAAACCGATCTGTTTCATATGTTAATTACCAAATAGCTTGCACATATTTATTTTCCTTCTATGATTGCATTGATATAAAATGATTTCTAATATGAGAAGCCCCATGTGTGTTTCTTAGATCAATACGGTAACATAAACAGAATAATTATTAAGATTTAAGTAAAAATTCTCTACAAAGTTTTCTGTATTTCACAAACGTTTTGTCATGTCTGAAACATATTATGTAGTTTGAGTGTTTATCTTTTAAGTCCGAGGAAGAATATGTAGACATTAACACAATTTGTCAAGGCGGTAAGGAACCTAAAATGCCTGATCATTTTTCTTTCTTTATATCTTTGACTTTTTTTTTAAAGCATTCTCTATTATTATAAGGTAATAATGCTCTTTTATTCTATCCCTAGACAAAATAACTCTTTGTAGTTACACTTTAAAAAAATAAGTCAGAAAATTTCCTTTATAAAAATAAGTTTCTCATCTCTAATAATTTGGGCATCAAAATGTTGGTCCAGTAATGACTTATTTCCACTTTCCATTTATACCTCTTGTTTAAAATTCAAAATAGGGCCGGCCCGGTGGCACACTGAATAAGTGCACCGCTTGGGAAGCATGGCGGCGCTCCTGCCGAGGGTTCGGATCCCATGTGGAGACTGGTTCCCATTCACTGGCTGAGCGGAGAGTGTGGGCACAACACTGAGGGTTGCGATCCCGTTGCCGGTCCCCGATACGGGCGCGACACCGAGGGTTGCAATCCCGGTACCGGTCAGTAAAAAAGACAAAAAGGAAAAAAAAAAAAAGAATGGAAATTTATATTCTTTTACCCCAGCCATATAAAATTCAAGCAGATCATTTTGCAAAAAACCCTTTTCCATATAAACAATTCATCTATTTTGAATTTTATTTTATTTTTTTATTTTATTATTATTATTTTTTTTGTCTTTTGTCTTTTTCCGTGTCCGGCAACGGATCGCAAC